GGCAGAGATTGGAGCCATGTGGCCACAAGCCGAGGAACGTCAAGGAAGCCAGCAGCCACTAGATGATTAAGAGTCAAGAAACAGATTCTTCCCCACAGCCTCCAATGGGAGTTTGGCCCTCCCAGCACCTTGCTTTCAGCCTTCCTGGCCTCCAGACTGTGATGATAAACTTCTGTTGTGTTTAGAGCCACACAGCTTGTGGTTACTTGTTACAGCAGCCACAGGAAATTAATACGTCATTCTGAGGTCCTCCAAATCTCAACCCATTGCCGCTCACCTCAGTCCAGATCTCATCTAAGTGACGTATAGCGTGCCAGGAAGAATGTGACTGCTGTAATGAAAGCATATGTCTAAAGATTAGAAGACATGATGAGAACACTTTCCATCAGTGCTATAGTTTGAATGTTTGCCCCCTCCAAAACTCATGGTGAAACTTAATCTCCAGTGTAACAGTATTAAGAGGTGGGACCTTTAAGAGGTGATTGGGTCATGAGGGCTCAGCTCTTATGATTAATGGGTTATCACGAGAGTGGGTTAGTTATCATGAGGATGAGTCTGTTAGAAGAGCCAATTTGGTTCCCTCTCATGAACCAAAGGCATCCCTCTTTCCCTGGGATGCCTTCTGCCATGTTATATGTAGCTTGAGGCCTTCACCAGAAGCCAGCCAGATATAGCTGCCCAATCTTGGACTTCCCAGCCTCCAGAACCAGGGGCCAAAATAATAGCTATTAATTCAGTACTTCAATTTGCATATCACTTGTTCTTTGTTACCATAGTTGTCAGTCAGTTCTGGACACTAGCCAGTAAAGTGGCAAAGATTCAGTCTTAAATTACAGGAAGGGGGGTGGGGCGGGATCCTGTTGCTTTAAAACATTAGTTGTTTTAGTAGTAGAGTAATTTGGTTATAATTATGAATGAATTTTCTTTATAAATTACCCAGTCTTGAGTATTCTGCTATAGCAACAGAAAATGGAGTAAAACATCAAGCAGAATATGTCAGAACCTGTTCCAAGGGACTAGTGCAAAAAGTTCTTCAACTGATAATTCTTTGCTCCCTTTCCTAGTCTTAATGCTGTGCTCACTCTGGATATGAGTAACTTTTTTTCATGGAAACTGAGCTACCCATCTTAAAAGATCCCCATCAGTAGAGTTTGGGAGAATCTCTTCAGAGAAGTGATTGCCTTATCCAACTCAGCCTGGAGGTTGAGGGACTCTTGGTTCATAATTGTTAGGAGACATCTATTAAGGAGAAATCAGCAAGAGTAAGGCACATCTTTAGGAATTAGCCACATGTAATTCACTCCCAAACAAAATCCTGTTGATAGTCTTATGTGCATTTTGGTATATCCTCTCCTTCCCTTACACAACATGTAGACATACTACCCCCGCCCCCCCGCCCCCAGAAGACATGGCTTGTGATACATTGTTACTTGTCACGTGAAAGTACTTTCATTCACCTTTTAGAAACAAATTTATTTGGCATTTGCTTGGATTTTGCCCAGTAAATATATCTTTTAAATGAGAGGGGGAAAAAAGCCTGAAACCAAACCTCTGACTTTTAATAGAGTAAAAAATGAAGTATAAAAACATTTTTGAGCCCTTTAAAAAAAGAAAAAAACAAAAAACACAGGCACAGTGGCACAGGCTTATAGTCCCAGGTACTCAAGAGGCTGAAGTGGGAGGATCACTTGAGCCCAGGAGTTCAAGGCCAGCCTGGGCAACATAGTGAGACACTATCTCTTTAAAATAAATTTTTTTTTTTTTTTTTTTTTTTGGTGAGGAAAACTAGGGTAAAAAGAGTTATTTTATGTTCATATCATGCTAAGTCTTTACATACCTCTTGTGTTCTTTGGTGTTTTGAGGTATATATACCTTCACATGTGACCAAGCAATCTGGGCAAACTAGCGTCTGCCTTCTGCCATCTCTTCTGCTTCCCATCTCTCACTTCAATGTGAACTTAAGCCTGAGTGTGGATGTAAGCCTTCTCCAGCTGATACCACCCAACTCCTCTTTCTTCCATTCTGTCTTCAGAGAAATGTGGCCCACTCTGCAGAACAGCTTGTCCCCTGTTCATTTCTCCCCTGATGGCATCACCCTTTCTGCTGTAGCTGAGAAGAAATTGGGCTTCCTTCCCAAGGTTTGTGCCCTGGCCAGCTATTATATTACAGTCTTCCCACCCACCCTCTTCATTTGAATGTACTCTAGCTGCTGAGCCATCATGGGCCAAGATTGCTACAAGGCAGTGCCTCTTTTTTTGTTTTCTTAGACAGGATCTTACTCTGTCACCTAGGCTGGAGTGCAGTGGCACAACCATAGCTCATTGTAACCTCTAATTCCTGGGCTTCAGTGATACTTCTGCCTCAACCTCCAGAGTAACTAGGACTACAGGTGCATGCTAACATATCTGGCTAATTTTTTAATTTTTTGTAGAGACAGGGTCTCACTATGTTGCTCAGGCTGGTCTTGAACTCCTGGCCTCAGGCAGTCCTCCTGCCTTAGCCTCCCAAAGTGCTGGCATTACAGGTGTGAGCCACCGTGCCAGCCTAGTGCCTGACTCTTAAAAATTCTTCCTCTCTGCGCCATCTTTGATGCCTTTAGTATCCTCAACCAAGACCCATCTTACAAATCCTTGTGCTCTTATCTGTGAGTAGGCAGATAAGCACCAAGTCACACCCTTAAATCCTTTTACCTATAAGATTGTTCTAGCCCAGAAATCCCTACCTTGTCTGCCTCTTCACCTCTTCTGTTACAGTCATCTCCACAGCACCCTCAGGTGAGCCACCAAACCTGTTCTTTCAAGCTTGGGTTACCTAACCTCACTTCTTTCTGCTTGGGTTCTCTGGCCTCCTAACCCAACCTGCGGTCACAGTTTTTTAATACTGTGCTGACCACAGCCCTAGAATTTCTTGTTGCTTGTGTCCCGATTTCTACAAATTCTGTTATCCCAATCCTCAGTCTTAGATTAACTTTTTTTTTTTTTTAATCTGCCCCAGGATGCAAAGACTCTAAACAAGTTAAATATATAGTATGAAAGGTTATGGTCATAGGCAGTTCAGTTGATAAAAAGGATATTTGAACAGATGTTTGAAGGAAGCAATGGAATGACATAGGGAAGAAAATTCCAGAAGAAGGGACCAGAAATGCAAAATTTACTAGTGTACTATTCTAACTACTGTTAGAGAAACAGTAAGTGGCTAGTGTGGGAATGGGCAAGTGGGAAGAGATTGTAGCTGGATGGGTAAGGTTGAGAAGAAGGAAGACAAGGAGGTCATGGGACTTTGTGGTGGCCTAGCAAGTAAGAGCTTTGATTTTTATTTACGGATCCAATGCAGAGGGTTTTGAGCATAGAAGTGATTTTAAGGGGCAAAGATGGAAGCAGGGATACACCAGACAGTTGGGGTATTAGAGACGGTTGGTTTCTGGGTATGTTTAGAAGGTAAAGCTGATAGGATTGGGTCTAATAGATTGGATTAGGGGATAGGAAAGAACACTCGCATATGTATTCGCCAGCTAAGAGTCTTTGGTAAAGCAAATAGCAAGGAGCAATTGCAATTTACTAACCTGAAAAAGGCATGCAAGAGGAGTCAGTTTGGAGGAGAAAGCAGGTGTTTGGTTTTGGACATTTCATCCTAATTAGGCAGGAACCATGATGTTTGCTGGGCTCACAGAATGCCCAGGACAAGGCTTTAGGCATAGTAGGTGCTTAATAAATGTTTGGTTTTATTTTGGTTTGGTGATTTTGGCTTCCATAAATATGTATAATTTTTCAGGCCTTAGCTTCTTAGTGCTAGTTCTTTTTATACCAAGACAAAAGCTCATTAGGTTTATAAATAGAAGATAAATTTGAGTTGTGTCTTTAGTGAAATTGATGTGGCTATAGCCTTGCCAGAGTGCTTTGATAATCTGTTCTCTGAACGCTAATCATCAAGTTCCTTTAATGAACAGGATCTCTATATAATACATACTTAGTTCTTTTGAACAACTTACTTTAGGCCATGAGACTTTTATATTACATGTGATTCTTTTATTATTGGAGTAGAACATGACCAAAATATGGAATAGACACCCATAGGACTGCCACTGTTATTTTATGGTAAGAAAGTAGTTTCCAGATGTAATTTGAAAAGTCATTGTTGGGCATTTTTAGGTGCTAAATTTTACCCCCCTTACTGAGAGATTCTTTTCCTCCAGGTGTAGTACATAATTGCTGTTCTTAGTCATTTTCCAGTTTTGATCTTCATGACTGATGTTCTGTTCTTTTACAAATTAAACCCATATTTTTCCTTGTTCCTTGTTTCTTTTTTATACTGAAATAACCTGTGACATTTCAAAGTGAAATTGTTTGATCTCACAGTTTATATCTTTAGATCATTTGACAAGATTTTGAAATGCTCTTTAATGAACCATGACACCTTCCAAGGTTATGATAACATAATCCCCTTATTTTATGGGAGAATGACATTTCGTCAAATGGTTTGGGTATTAATGTGTACAGAATTTTGAAAAATTGAACATTACATGTTCTGGGCATAAAAAAATACAACTTAGGACAATGATACCTGTAGTTCTGTTTTAGTGTCTGGGGCCTGTCAAGTAAGGAATAATTAGGCACATGCCATCTTGTTACTGTGTTGCTCAAGTGTGTCTGTATTCTCTTTTTATCCCTACCAATGTCTCAATCGCTAATACAAATTAATGAACAACTCACCTATAAAGGACGTGGAAAAATTATCACACTTTCAGAGGCTGTTGGGAAACATCTGTAAGGCCCTACAGTTAGGCCGTATTTCCCACTATGATACCCTTAGAAATCTGATTAAATATACCACTGAGGAGGATAGCTATAGCTGTGAAAAGTATGAAGGCTTAATTTTAGGTGGAACACAGCTGTGTATACAATTTAAAGAAAAAGAACTTCAAGTATTTTTCCTTTAATTCATTATTGTGCAAATATGAAATTATGAATTTTATTTTGATGTTTTTCATTTTTATATTAAAGCATTGACTCTAGATTTTGTTTCTTTTGCTTATCTCAAAGAATAAAAAATTGGCAACCTCTCTTGGACCTCTTTAGGTATGAATAGCTGATTCCCTTTATATATTTAAGAAATTATATTTTTACGGAGGCCAGAAGGCCTCACTGTGTTTTCTTTTCCTACTAAAGCAAGTCTAAAGAAGAAATCATATAATTAAAGGAAACATAATTTCCCATTTGAAAATCCTAGCTGTATTTTTTAAGAGATTACATATTTTTAAAAAAGTTAATTTTCTTTTGATGAAATCTCTAAATAGTTTATGGGTTTATTCTTTTTTATAGGTAGGGAAAAGCAAGTTTTAAAGAAGATAATCTAGTCAGTCTCATATTAAGAATATGAAATTCAGACATAAGTTTTTAGGATCAAACGTAGTCGACTACCATCTTTCTCTAGTATTCAGTTTTTCATTCATGGAGCAGGTATTTCTATTGAGTGCCTACTGTATAACAGGCACTGTGCCAGCTCCTAGGGTTCCAATAATAAAACACACAACCAAGGGACCTTCTCTTATGGAGCTTCCATTCTCTTAGGGCAGAAAGACATTCTGCAAATAAGACCATATAGATAAGAGTGCTATGGTTTGAGTGTGTCCCCCAAAATTCATGTGTTACAAACTTAATCCTGAGTGCAACCATGTTCAGAGGGGGGGCCTGTAAGAGGTGATTAGGTCATGAGGACTTTGCCCTTATGAAGAGGTCAGTGCCATTATCACTGGAGTGAGTTACACCCAGCCTTTCCCTCTCTTTGCTGTGTCATGGGGTGATGCAACAAGAAGGCCCTCACCAGATGCTACCACTTTGGTGTTGACTTCCTAGCCTTTGGTACTGTTATACCAGTGCAAAACAGACTGAGACCAAGGATTATCAGAGAAGGCTTGTTTGAAGAGAAGACATAACATCTGTGGCCTGAAAGCTGAGTGGAAGCCAGTCATTTGAAGCATAGGGGCTGCAGGTAGAGATAACAGCATGTTCAGAGGACGTGAGGCAGGTAGGAACTAAAAGTAGACTAGGGTAATGCAAGTGTAGTGTGCATTGGTGGGACTCAGCCATACAGAGGCAGGAAGGATCTCGTATGGCATGTGATAATCAAGTGTGGATTTTATTCTAAGAACAGTGTAAAGTCATTGCAGGATTTCAAAGGTGGGAATCACATAGTTTTAAAAGTTCTCTTTTGCTACTTTATGCAGTTGGGGTTTGGATGGGATGGGATTTGCTCAGGAGCAGTATTGAGGAGGCTGTGGCGGTAATTGAAAGAGGACGTCACTTGAACCTTGGTGGTTGCCGTGAATGAGCAGAGTACCAGCTTGTGCTATATACCATTGTTTTGGTGGACCGCATGTTCAAATGGTCCCATAAGATTATAATGCAGCTGAAAAATTCCTACTGCCTAGTGATACAGCCATCCTAAGGTTATCATGCAGTGCATTACTCATGTGCTTGTGGTGATGCTGGTGTAAACAGATCTGCACTGCCAGTCCTGTAAAAGTATAGCACATACAGTTATGTACATAGTACTTGATGATAACAAACGGCTGTGTTACTGGTTTATATATTTACTATACTATACATTTTATTGGTATTTTAGAGTGTATACCCCTTCTAATAAAAAAAAGGTTAACTGTAAAATAGTGTCGGGACAGGTCCTTCAGAAGGTATTCCAGAAAAAGGCATTGTTAGTGTAGGAGATGACAGCCCCATGCGTGTTACTGGCCCTGAGCACCTTTCAGTGGGACAAGATGTGGAGGTGGAAAACAGTGACATTCATGATCCTGACCCAGTGTGGACCTAGGTTAATGTGTGTGTTTATGTCTTAATTTTTGACATTAAAATTTAAAATGTAAAATTTAATATTTAAAATGCAAAATAACTTTTTTAACATGGAAAAAAGCTTATAGAATAAGGATATAAAGAAAAATATTTTTGTACAGCTGTACAGTGTGTTTGGGGTTTAAGATTAATATTATTACAAAAGAGTAGAGTTTTAAAAATTTATAAGGTAAAAATGTTACAGTAAGCCAAGGTTCATTTATTATTGAAGAAAGAAAAATACTTTTTATAAATTTCATATAGTTTAAATAGAAAATGTTTTTAAAGTCTACAGCAGTGTACAGTAGTGTCCTGGGGCTTCACATTTATGCACCACTCACTGACTCACCCAGGGCAACGTCCAGTCCTGCAAGATCCGATCATTCATGGGAAGTGTCCTATACAGGTGGACCATTTTTTCTCTTTTATATCATATATTTACTGTAGTTTTCTATATTTATATATGTTTAGATACACAAATACCATTATGTCTCACTTGCCTATAGTATTCAGTATGGTAACATGCTATAGGGGTTTGTAGCCTAGGAAGAACAGGCTATACTATTCAGCCTAGGTCTGTAGTAAGCTGTACCATCTAGGTTTATGGAAATATACTCTGTGATATTCGAACAGTGATGAAATCGCCTAACAACATGTTTCTCAGAAGATATGGGCATCATTAAGTGACACATCACTGTAGATGGAATCATGAAATGCTTAAGAGAGACAGTTGGTTGGCAGAATTTGGAGCTTTGCTAAGACTGGTTCTTTTTAATGTGGCTCTTTTTCATCTTTGCCAACTCGATAGCTAAAGAATCGTATCTTGCCTTTGTTTTAATTTTTTTTAAGCTGAGGAGATTGAACTTTTTTTCCTCCATATTTGTTGCTGTTTATGGGGGAGTGAGTGTGTGTGTGTGAGACAGACAGAGGGATTGCCCTATTTATAATTATTCGTTTAAAGTCTTACTAAGTTGTAAGAGGTCTTTATATTTGCAATCTGTGACAAACTTAAAAACATTTTTCCCTTTGTTGTCATTTATCTTTTAATTTATGGAATATTTTTACTATAAGTTTTTCATGGGCATTAAACTTATGGTTTATAAATTTGGTGTCATTTGTATGTTGATGTTGGAGACTTTGTAATGCTTGTGAACTTGAGAATGCTTTCATATAAGACACATTTTGAACTTTGGTTCTTTCAGTGTAGCATACCACAGTGATATGTAATCAAGTCTTTTTAAGAATAAAGAACTTACTTGAGCTAATACAGAAGAGTCTAGGCTGTGTTCAAGTCTTTTATCTATTTTTAAAATTGTTTTATCATGCTTTTTGTTAACTGATTTTACAATTTATGTAATTTTCTTACAGTTCAGTTGTCATCATGATTAACTATAAAGTTCTAATTTTGTTGCATTAAGCTATAGTTATGGAAGCCAGAGAATAAAGCTTATTAAAATTTTGTATAAAGCAAGCATAAATATTTACAGTGCTGATGGTCTTAGGATTAGTCCTTCTAGTCAACTGTGTGATCTTTAATTTTTAGACCTTTATACTTCTTTGAGGTTCTAGACATGGTCTTGTGAGATTGCAGGATAGCTCAGCTATGCATGAGAAACTTGGAAATGACCATGGTGCTAATTGTCAGATCACTAGATACACATTAAAATCACATGCGTATAGAGGAGAGCGCATCAGCTGATGGCTTAGAAAACAGGGGTTCTAGTTCTTACAGTTCTATTACCTAGTTGTGTCACTTGGGCCCAGGACATCTTTCGGAAGTTTATCTCCAGGAACTTAAGAAGAGTGCTGGGGTTAGGATGTAATTTCATAGACTTTATGCTGCCCCCTGGTGGTAATCTACCTTAACCTAAAGCTACAGCTGTAGTCACTTTACAGTATGATGTTGTGTTCCAGTGCTGACCTACTTCATGGGTAAGGATTATCCCTTCTAGATAGCTGAGCTTTGTGCTATTTACTAGCAATCAGTTGATAAAGAAGATCAGTGAAGATGGGACCCAGAAGTTTGGGAAATCAGCAGACCCTAATTAGAACCAAGAAGTCACAGTCAGTAGTAAGTGGAGAGAAGTAAGTAAATGGATGGGTAGATATTCATTTTTATGAATCTCTATAATTGCTGTCAGGGGAAAAAAAACCAATGCATTTAGGGGGGGGAAAAGATAGAGCAGATCTATACTTGCTTTCCTGGAAATCTTTTTTCTTACTTCCAGGAGACCAAGATAAGGAGGCAGAGAAAGCCATGTATAGGCTAACAGAACATGTTGGGAACATGAACAGTGTCTTCCTGGCAAGGGATGCCCAAAGGATATACATTTCAGTGCCGTGAATTTAGAATTTACACCTCTGCATGCTCTCTGGTCTGAAAATACTTTGAACTTTTCTAGCTGTCAAAATAAGTATTGGAAATTTATTTTGGAAGATTGACTTGAACTTGATTTCTCCTGTCTGGGCCTGTACATTGTTGCTAATTTTGAAACTTGGTGTTAGTCCCGAAGGTCCCATTCCTTAAATTAGGTTTCTTTTTACCTCAGTGAGTCAAATTTATTTTTGTAAGTATAGTCTGATAGACTTTTCTCAGTGAAATGGAAAACCTTTGACTACCCAGCTAATGGGAATTTCTAATCCTCAGTGGACTGCAAAAACTTACTTCAATATAGATAGGATTTTTAAAAACATTTTACATTAATGAAGAAGTTGTATTCTTTTCCTTCATTCTGCTATCAGTGTGTTACTAACACCAGGCAGCCTCCAATTTAAAAACTGAAAGTATTCTTTAAATTAGTTGCTTTTGATTATCTTTGTTAGGTATGGTGATTGGGTGACCCAATCAGTCTTCCAAAGATCATAGATTATAAGAAGTGGCCATGCTTCTCAGTAAAAGTAATCAGCACACATCTGACCAAGAATTTCTAACTATTGTGGATAGCATTCTGGGAGAGAAGTAATTTAGAAACTGAAATACTAAATCTTCTAGGATATTTTGATGGTGTATGAGACAAAGGAAAAAATTTTTAAATCTGAACTACTTTAGAAAATCCAGAGGAAATTATTCCTATATAAAAAAAGTATGTAAATTCTATAGTGGTATTATTCTCATTGTTTCTGTACTATTAAAGAGGCACTATTGCCTATTACAAGTTTGTGATTGAAAGTACATCAGAATTCTACTTTCAGTTATCATAAACACTGTCTTTGTGCTGTAAGTCCCCAGTGGCTCTTCTGGTTAGGGACAGAGATTCCAGTAGGGAAGGTCAGGGATGGAGATTGGAAGCTGGTTGGGTGAGATGGAGGGAAACACAGCCAGGATGTTGAGAAGCAGGATGGGGCTGGAGCATTCTTCAAGGTCTTCTCTCCCGCCCCCCCACCCCCCCCCCCCCCCCCCACCCCCGCCGCTTTAAAATAATTAGTGTGGAATAATAACAGAAAATATTTTTTTCAGTCATTGTTTTTGAACACTTGATGAACTCTGTCATTCTGGCAATTCGTGTCCCCTTTAGTTCTGAGAAGTTTTCTTGAATGATTTTTTTTTTTATTCTTTTTAGATTTAAAAATCTTTGACTTGTTCTGTGCTGTTTCTTGAGCTCCTACTATTCTGATATTGAACTTCTAGATTACCTTTTTATTCTTTTCTTTCAGTTTTCCATCTTTTGTTCTATATCTGAGATTTTTTTCAATTTTATTTTCTTATTTCTATTGAATTTTCCATATTTACCATGAATTTCTAGGTCTATTTTAAAAATGTCCTTTTTTTGGTACCATCTTGTTGTTGGATACCTTATTACCTCTGAGAACATTAGTAATAGTTATTCTTAATATTATCATTTCCCTACTTAGTCTCTTTCCTATTAGTCTCTTTCCTACAAGTTCTTGTTTCTTTGTTTTGGTCTTTGTTTTTTATATTTATTGGGTGTTTCTTCAAATGTCTAGTGATTTTTTTTTTTTTTTGTCCAGTTATACTTTAAAATAGGCACTATATAAAGCCTTTGGAAGCACTTTGCATGAGGGGAACTTGTTTTTATTGGTTTCAGTGCAAAGTGATCAGTGTCCTTATGCCTTTTTTTCATGAAATTTTTTAGGTTTCCAGAAAAATAAATTATCTGATCATTTGCCTGAAAGTTATTCTGGATGCCTAGTGAGATAGAGGGTGAGAGCAGGTTCTACTTA